TTCTAAAAGTGGCAGCATGCTTTCTGTCTGGAAATGGATGAGATGAACACAAGACTGGAAGGGTCAGCCTTTGATTTAAGAGTCAGGTTTCCTCTTAATCAGCTCTGGGATCCTGAGAACAAAAACACTTTTCTGAGGGATGGTTTCCTCCTTTGTGAAATAAGATGGGCTAGCCAAATGATTTCCAAATTTGGTGGCCTTTAAGGTCCTTTGGGGAATTAAAGACTCACTGATCTTGTGTTAAATCCACAATGTCCAGGAATCTGTACCACTGAAAAAGCTCCTCAGGACCCTGGTGGGCTGTTTTATAGACAGTAGGAACTACTGGGCTAGATGATTTCTCATGCTTGCACTTTTAACATTATTTTATTTATTTATTTTTGAGACTGAGTCTCTCTGTCATCCAGGCTGGAGTGCAGTGGCACAATTTTGGCAACCCACACCTCCTGAGTTCGAGCAATTCTCTTGCCTCAGCCTCCTAAGTAGCTGGGATTACAGGCACCTGCCACCATGGCTGGTTAATTTTTTTTTTTTTTTTTTTTTTTTGTATTTTAGTAGAGACAGGGTTTCACCATGTTGGCCATGTTGGTCTCGAACTCCTGATCTCAAGTGATCTGCCCATCTCAGCCTCCCAAAGTGCTGGGATTACAGACATGAGCTATCATGCGCAGCCAACATTATTTTAACTTTTCCCATCAGACTGGGTATGCTTGTGTCTAAATTGTTCTCCATCTTCACTACAATCATGAGCAGAATTTTTAAAAAATATATGATACCTAGAGCCCTCCCTAGGCAAAATAAATCATTCTGGGGTGGAGCTCAGGCACCATCACTAGTTGTTTGCTTGTTTCCATCAGTACATTTAAAACTAACCATGTTCAACCTTGGCAGCACATTAGAATCACCTGGGGAGCTTAAAAGAAAGCCCACTGCCCAGCCTGTCCTTCACGTGAATTCAGTTACAATCTCATGGGCGAAACCAAGCATCAGCAATTTTTTTTTTTTGTTTGAGATACAGTTTCCCTCTTGTTGCCCAGCCTGGAGTGCAATGGCGCGGTCTTGGCTCACCGCAACCTCCCCTTCCCAGGTTCAAATGATTCTCCTGCCTCAGCTACCATGCCCGGCTAATTTTGAATTTTTAGTAGAGATGGGTTTTCTGCATGTTGGTCAGGCTGATCTCAAACTCCCGACCTCAGGTGATCTGCCTGCCTCGGCCTCCCAAACTGCTGGGATTACAGGTGTGAGCCAGCATGCCTGGTGCATCAGTATTTTTTAAAGTTCCCCAGGTGAGTACAACATACAGCCACACTGACCTGTATGTCACATTTGAGATAATTCTAATTCACCTATAAAGGATTATTCAGAAAAAAATCCCAAGATTTAGACGCTGCAGTACTCCAAGAAAAAAAATGCATTTAAAGTGAAAGATATTATAATTTTGAAATAAAAGATTTAAAAATTAAATGGAAGGAAGTTCCATTTCTGGCACTATGGCAGACTAAGTAACCTGAAAACCCTCCTATGATAAACCACATATAAAACTGGTCAGAATGTAGTCAATACCCATTTAAATGAGCTCTTGGAATAGTAAGCAAAGGTTCTCAGTGTCAGAAAGAAGAGAAAGATGATAGCATGGTATGCAGGTAAGTTGGGGTTAAGCCAGTCTTGGGCAGGTTTGCTGGTGTTGGGAACCTGAGGTTTGAGCATCAAAATAGGAAGGAGACTGCTTCAGGTCCATTGAAAGTTGGGAAATGGAACTGAGAATACCCATTATGCTGGAACCTCATAAAGTTAGACTCTCCTGTGTCACTAGAGAAATAATCACAGGAAAAAATAATCTCCCCAGTGTCACAAGAAAATGTGCCTGTCTTGGCATGGGTTGAGGGTGGGGAAAAAAGGGTTTTACTGAGAATTTGGGATTACAATGTGGTATGGTCCAGGAACCCTAAAGCTTTGAATGAATACAGAAATGCAGACCCAATGTCAAACTATACAATGCACATGGCTATAATCCTCCACAAGCAAGATGTAGCCGTCACAAAGATCCCAAAAACCTCAGGTAACAGAACTATCAGACAGGCTATAACATAAGTAAGCTTCAAATTATTAAAAACACAAAGGAACCTTTGAAACCAGGAGAAAATAACATAACGCTCTAAAAAGGATAAAGTTTAAATGGAACAAAATAGAATTTCTAGAAATGACAAATATAGCCACCAAAATGAAAAGCTCAGTGATGAGTTAAACAGCAGATTGGACAGACTTGAAGAAAGAACTGCAGATGGATCTGAGAAGATTGCTCAGGAAGCAGCAAAGACAAAGTGAAGGAAAGTCTGACAGATTCAGAGTATGCCGGATAGAAGGACAAGATGTGTTACACATTTCACATAAGCACCAGAAGACAATGAGAGGGAGACTTCATTTAGAATGCCAAGATTGTGCATGTACAATGAGTACCGAACCAGATAAGAAATTCATACTTGGACACAGCAGAGCAAAAATGCAGGAAGCCAAAGACAAGGAAAAAGCCTTAAAACCAGAGAGACAAGACAGATTACCACCCAAGGAATGACAATTAGACTCATAGCAAATGTTTCAGAAATAAAGAATAAGAAGACACTTCTTTGAATATACAAAAAAGTGCTGGGGTAAAATAACTGCCAATCTAGAGTATTACACCTAGAGAAATCATCATTCAGGAATGAGAGTGAAATATGACATGTTTGTATTAGTGGAGAGAGCATATTACTCACACAATCTCACTAAAAAACTATTAAAGGTTATGTTTCAGGGGAAAGGTCTATATCTAGAAGGAAATTGGTAAATATTGGCAAATCTAAATGATGAATTGGCTGCATATAAAATTACAATAGAGATTAAAATTAGGGGTATAAAAACTAGATGGATCTAAAATAACAAGCAACAATAAAACATAAGAGGAGAGGATGTAACTGCAGTTGAGTCATTCTTAGCTTACTGGATAGTTCTAGGGCATTTGATTTATTTTAGATCACATGAACAGGTTAAAATTTTAATAACCGAAAGAGTATAAGTAGAATTACAACTTCTGGCTAGGTGCAGTGGCTCACGCCTATAATACTAACACTTTGGGAGGCCAAGGCAGGTGAAACAATTGAGGTCAGGAGTTCAAGACCAGCCTGGTCAACATGGTGAAACCCCATCTCTACTAAAAATACAAAAATTAGCTGGGCGTGGTGGTGGGTGCCTGTAATCCCAGCTGCTTGGATGCACCTAATAACAAAGTCTTAAAATACACAAAGCAAAAAGTATAAGAAGTAGAAAATGCACAATTACAGTGGGAAATTTTAACCGTTCTTTTTCATGTGCCTGACAACATACTTTTAAAAACAGCAAAGTTTTTGAGAATACAGGATAAACTGGAAAATCTAGTCATATAGAAATTTTAATGTACTTCTATAAAAAGCAATAGGTCAAGCAGACAAAATATTCATAAGGCTACAGGAAATCTAGATAATATAATTAATAAGTCTGATCTAATAGACCCATATAAAATGCTATACTTAAACATTAAGGCATATACATTCTTTTAAAAACTATATAAAATATTTATAAAAATTGACTGCACCAAAGCAAATTTTAATAAATAACAAAGAATCTGCTTCATATAGATCACCTTATTTAACCTTAATTCAGTTAAGTTAGACATTAATAACTAAAGAATAACCTCAAATACCCCTCAAATACACCTGTATTGATTCACGGATCAAGGAAGAACTCATATCTGAAATATGATTTGTTTTTGTTTGAAACAGGATCTTGCTCTGTCATCCAGGCTGGAGTAGCGACGTGATCATGGGTCACTACAGCCTCAACTTCCCAGGGTCAAGTGATTCTCCCACTTCAGCCTCCTGAGTAGCTGGGCCTATAGGTGCATGTTACCACACTTGGCTAGTTTCTAGAAAAGTTTTCTTTTGCAGAGAAGGGGCCTGACTATGTTGTTTAGGCTGGTCTCAAACTCCTGGGGTCAAGTGATCCTCCCACCTTGGCTTCCCAAAGTGCTGGGATTATAGGCATGAGCCATTGCGCCCAGCCTAAAATCTAAACATTTTTTTCTAACCTCAATGATAACAAAAAGTCTATATATCTTGTGAAATATAGCTTGAGTGGTACTTAAAGTGAAATCTATAATCTTAAATGTTAAAATCAGAAAACAGATGGCTAAAAATTAATTACCTAAGGCACCAATTCAAAAAAAAAAGCAACAGAATAAATCCAAAAAGAGCAGAAGCAGAAGGAACACTATATGATATATATTAATGTTACATTATGTATTATATTCTCATATATAATAGTATATAATATATTCTACTGTGCCACATATAAGAATATCATATATGATAATGTATAAAGACAAAAATTGCTAGAGCAGAAAAAGAAACAAAACCGAAGTCTGGGTCTTTGAAAACAGTAACAGAAAGTAGAAAGAAAACACTAACAAAAAAAAAAAAAAAAAAATCTCTGGCACAACTGATCCAGATAAGAAAAGATACATATAAAATGATATTTGGAATGAAAAAATAAACATTATGGATAGATACAGCAGAGATTAAAATACATTAAGAGATAACTATGAACAGCATTTTGTCAACATATTTGAAAACCTAGATGGTATGGATAATTTCCTTGAAAAATATAGTGTATAAAAATAGATTCAAGAAGAAAACAGAAAACCTGAGGAGATCTATAAGCATTAAAGAAATGGAATCAGTAGTTAAAAATCAACCCACGAAATGTCTATCCCAGACCCAGACAATTTACCGGCAAGTTCTACCAAACATTCAAGGAACACACAATTCCAATCTTATACACACTGTGTTCCAGAAAATGAAAAAAGAAGGAAAATTTACCAGTTCATTTTAGGAGATCAGTATAAGCAGACAAAAAACTGTTGCCAGTTTGACTTGTGAACAAAAACACAAAAAGAATCCTAGAATGAAAATAATGTTGACCATCATTCATTCATTCATCCATTTATTCAGTCAATCATTATTGAGCATCAACCGTGCTCGAGCAGGCAGTGTGTGGTACATGGAGAGCAGAAAGGTCCAGGAGCTTATGGCTTAGAGGAGATGGGCAATAAAGCAAATGATCATACAGAGTAAATACACAGAGTATGTTATTTACGGTATGTTATTTACACAGTTACAGTAGGGTAACTGCATATCAAGGGGCATTCGACCCTGTCACAGAGGTCTGGGAAAGATTTCCAGGCACGTAAGTGGAGTAACGGTGGATGTGGAGAGACTGTTTTGTAGGCTGTTGCAGGGACTCAGGTGGGAGATCTGGGATGCAGTAGCAAGAAAGATGGATTTGAGCTCGGGCTGCCTTTAGAAAGGCTAAGTGGAGACGCTGAATAGGAAATTGGCCAGAGCCTGGAACTCTTCAGGAAAGATGGGGCTGGAGATTTCAATTTGAGTGGCATCAACATGTGTTTAAACCCATCCTGGAAGATTGAGTTTGAAGAAGGAATTGTCCAACATGGTCTTGGGCTGTTGAGACTTTTTAAGAGGGTTGAGGAATGATACTGTGCTGCTTGAATTCACCTGATGCAGGGGCTACATTGAGTAAACGAGAAAAAAATGCATAAAATAATAATAATAATGAGCTATTACAAATAATGTAGTGCAAAAGGGCAGCAAGAGGGACTTTTTTTGGACAATCAAATTGTTCTGCATCTTGATTGCGGTGGTGGTTACATGACTCTATGCATATGTCAAAAACTCATAGAATTACAGTCCAAAAAGGGTAAATGTTACTGCATATAAATTAAAACTAAATGAGTAAAAACAATGTAGTAATAGAGACTTACAATCTAGTTCTTGCTCAGCCACTGACTTTGTAACTGCAGCACTAGCCCCCTCTAGATTTTGAATCAGTTCTGTGTCAGCCTGTGGAGGTCTATACCAGAGAAGGGCCCCCAACTCTTGCCTTTCGAGGGACAGAATAAACATGTAGGCAGCAGAGGCCAAATGGCACTGGACTGATGGCCAGAAGCTCGGGGTGGGGTGTAGCCTGGTGAGTTTGGTACCTCTGAGACCCTGATGTAAAATGAGGGGATTAGATTAGGAAAGGCCTTTCTACCTAGGATGGCCTGTGTTTCTACCGTAAAAATTCCAAACACAATACAATTAGTTCTGTTGTCTGCATTTTGTTGAGAATAATCACTCATAATAAACAATCATCATAACAACTAACTATTCCAGACTTGAGACCCCAGATGATTTGGGAAGGAGCTTGGAATGACAGGAAACGTGAGGGAGCACCTTCTCAGTATGATTATATTGAGTAGTAATTGATGATAAACACTCCTCAGGTTTACAGTGAAAAAGGAACTTTTACAACATTGGTTCACTTCAGCCTCTCACCTTCACCCCATCAATCCTGTCAAGGAGGAATTACTACAATTTAGGGAACAGGGAGATTGAGAGTCTGGTCACTCAAGGCTATGGCTGGCGTTCAGATTTTCCAAGTATTCCATTTTTCCAAAACCCACAGTGGATTTGGTTCAGTTTTGGTGTTGAGTGTATTCCTTTGTCTCCCAATCCTATGAAAATTAATGAAAAAGTGTTATTTGGGCATCAATTCATGCCTAACATTAATCTCAGTATTTGATGACCCACAACTTTGTTACCCCTCATGCCATATTAACTAAGTTTATTGCAATAATTTAAAACAATATGGATAATTGTATCCATATCGTTTATAAATTGAAACCAGTCGGAATTTTGCCAGCCTGGAATCTTCTGGAGAAATGTGCGATGTCTTTGGAAGGCTATAGAAATCATCTTTTTGGAGTTTTCAGTGCACAAAGGTATGAAACCAGCATTTAATAAGCACCTACTGTATGCCAGAACCGTGCTGCACAATACTGCTGCTCCTAAGGTGGGGGTGATTGTGAAGCCTTCTGCCACCCCAGCTACCTCCGCAGTTCGTGAGGGGTCTTGGGCTATTTCAGTATCATGCATTTTATTATCCTGGCATACGGCTGGGTAATTCGAGAAATAAAAAAATATAACGAACGGATTACACAGGGGTTTCCTGAAATAACCACCCATCCCAGCCATCCCAGAGACACTCCAAAAGTACTTCTCATTATATACAAACATTTGCTTTGAACCTCAATCATGTGACCTTGACCCCTATAACCTATCATATTATATTGTTACAACACTCTATGATTAACGCGGAAACCCTTTCTTCGGCACTTTCTCGCCACTGGAATCGCGTCAGTTTCTCAAAGTTCCAAAATAACCTTTCCCGGGCACGGATTGGTACCTCTGCTGGGGAAGGGCGGGGAGCCGCGCAAGACGTGCCGGTGTGGAGCGAGAGCCAGAGAGAACTTCCAGCGCAAAAGGAAAATAAAACTTGTGGCTGGTGTTTGTGCAGGAGGGTCTCCGCCATCCTTAAGTCCCTCGATCCTGGGGGGTCTCGGGGGCCGCCAGAGTAGCGCCGGAGTATGGGTTTGCTCCCGACGTCCTTGACCTAAATTTCTGAGCAGTGGCTGGAAACAGGGCGCAGCGCAGGGCGGGCGGCTGGTGCCATCCCTGGATCTCGGCTGCAGGGGCCGGCAAACTTGAATAGAGAGGGCGAACTAGAGAGGGTGGGGGGGGGCGTCTTCACCCCGGTCCGGTTGAGGAGCCGCAGCAAGCTCCCCGCGCCTCCCCTCCCCCGATCCACCCGCCCCCCGCAGCCCATGTGATCCAGGGAAGTCGGGGTGCGCTCCCTGTCGCCCTGCGCCCGGCCGGCCCGGAGGCGGGGTCCCCTCGGCCCGCGGGGTTCGCGCGCCACCCGTGTGGGTCTGGCCGCGGGGGGCCGAGTGTGCGCGCGCGGGCAGGCGGGGGCCGCACGGGGGTGCGTGACGTCACCGGCATTGGTTACACGACGTTCTAGAACTCCGCCCCACGTGCGCCGGGGAGGAGGGGGAGGAGGAGGAGGAGATGGGGGTGGGGAGGAGGAGGGGGAGAGGTGGGGATGGGCCGGGGGGGCGGGGACGGGGGGTGTGCGAGGCAGCGGGGCTGAGCTAAGCCGAGCCCACGTGTGACGGCTCTCGCCGCTGCCCCGGCTCCGCCGCTCGCAGAGAGATTCGGAGGAGCCCGGGCGGGGGGGAGGAGGAGGGGGAGGAGGGAGCGGAGATCTCGGGGCTCGGAGCCGGCCGCCGCTCCGCTCCGATCGCTGTGGGGCTCGGTTTTTTGGGGGTGGGGGGGCGGGGGGGCTCAGATATGGAGGCAAATGGGAGCCAAGGCACCTCGGGCAGCGCCAACGACTCCCAGCACGACCCCGGGTAAGTTTCCAGCCGCTGCCCACCGCGCCGCCTCGGGCTCGCTCTCCTTGCAGCGGCGGGGACGGCGGTGCGCGCAGCCGGGCATCTCCCGCGCCCCCCCGCTCCTCCCGCGCGCCCCCCCCGTGGAAGTTACACACCTTTGGATTGCATTTCGCCGTCACCTTCTCCCCCACCCCACCTCCCGGCTCTCGCTCGCTCGCTCCCCCCCGCTTTCCTTTTAGCTTTTGTAAGTTACACGTCAAAATGGCCGATCTGACATCGGTGCTCACTTCTGTTATGTTTTCTCCCTCTAGTAAAATGTTTATCGGTGGACTAAGCTGGCAGACCTCACCAGGTAAGGGAGGGAGGGGGGGACGCCTGGGTCCCCCCCTTCTAGGCTTCTTTATTGCTCTTTGTTATCCCGGTGTAGGAGCCACCCCCCCCGCCATTGGCTCCCACTTCTCCTGTGCAAGGTTATTTTTTTTAAATAGCAAATCCTTTCTGAGCCCTCTACGCGACCTCTGTTGCCGATTTCCCCCGCGTGTGCAAAAAATGAAAAAACAAAACAGAATAGCAACAGAAAACTACTTTTGGATTTTGTCCTTGGTCAAAATTTGCATTGCTTTTTTTCCCACACCTTCTTTCCCCCCGCCCCACCATCTCTCTCTTTCTCTCTACAGATAGCCTTAGAGACTATTTTAGCAAATTTGGAGAAATTAGAGAATGTATGGTCATGAGAGATCCCACTACGAAACGCTCCAGGTAAACCATTGCCTTCTGGATTTTGTCTTTATTTTAGAACAAAGTTTAAGTTTTATTTTTGGAGGTGTCTTCGGAAGTAGCTAAGCGGATTAGAATGGGGCTCAGGCGCGTGGCTGATCTCGAACGGCGCTCTCTACCACCCCCACCGCCCCCCAGTCACCCTAGAGGTTATTGTTAATTGGAGCTGAACTCTGGATACAGAGATACCCATCTCTCTGCTTTAAGTCATTTTCCCGTCGCTTCTTTTTCTCTGTTTAAAATGACATTCAGCTTCATTTACTTTTCACAGTTTTTTTTTTTCAGTCTTAATGTATGTTTCCCCACACTCCCAGCTCCCCTAACTCTTAAGTTCCCTCTTAGAAAGATGGTGGTGAATCTCTTCTAAGTGCCGGGCTTTCTTCGGAATAAAACAAAGCGTTAAGAAAGGGAAGAGGAGGAGGAGAGGAAACTGAGGTGGCCAAAGAGTGGAGGCACCAGCATTTTCCAAGTTACCTCCACCCGCCCTGCCCCCGTTCCACCTCCCCCACTAACCTGGCTGCTTTTTCTTGCGAGGTGGAGGGCTGTAGGCAGGAGGCGAATTGGAGGAGGGAAGTGGGGTGGGGGTGCGTGGGGGCAACTTTTGGTCTTCATTCAGCCGTTGGTCTCACTCCTTGTTGCTTTCAGTGGTGTCACATTTTCTTATTTGTTTTTCTCCCTCTTTGTCTCCTTTCAGAGGCTTCGGTTTCGTCACGTTCGCAGACCCAGCAAGTGTAGATAAAGTATTAGGTCAGCCCCACCATGAGTTAGATTCCAAGACGGTAGGTTGCTTTTTGTTGTTGTTGTTCGCCCCTTTTCAGGAACGATCTGGGCATTGACAGCCCCATTTAAAGGGACAGCGCCTTCTTTTGCTTCTGTGCTAGAACTGGGTAGTTTTAAACTGAGCTAGTGAGTTGGCTCAAAAGTTTGCTGCTGTGGCTGGCCTTGGGGTTTTCTTTTTAGAGCCTGTCCCAATGCCGCTTCAGATGCTGCCAAGGTTAGGCTTGGGGAGGAGGGGGTTCGGCTCCGGGAGAGTCTGCCTTTCCGGCCTGGGGACTGTGCAGAGAAACTCCACCAGAGAGCAAATGCAACTTTTCTTTGTCAGCCAAGCCCCAGCACGCGTTACCAACTGTGGCTGTGGGGATCGGTTTTGAGAAGGCACAGCCGCTTCGTGGCCGAGGGGGACAGCAGTGGGAAGGAGGGGAGAGGGCGCTAATTACAGGTCCAGGCAACAGGTTCCTCTTGCGGCACTTGGGATTTGGAAGGTGGTTTGGGAAGGGAAGGGGACGCTGGCAGAGCTGAGCTGGGTGGGCATCCACTGGGGTGACTCCAGATGGCGTGAAATCTAAAACTGATAAGGCCTGGGGGTTTCAAAGTGATTTTTTTTCCTTCTTTTTCTTTCTCAGATCCTTTCATTTGAGTGTGAGTACTTTTGTACATTAGAAGTTTTAAAAATTGAGAGTAGAAGGGGGAAAAGTTTCCAGGCAGAGGTCAGAAGGGAAAGGGAAGAGTGTCTGTATATAACAATACATTTAATGGGAGGGGGAGTTTGCAGTGTTTTATTTAGCCCCTGTGTGGGCTTCCTGCCTCTCCTCCCTTCCCTTTATGTCTACCAGAGTTTCCCCATGGCTTTTATTAATATATATCTGCCCGAAGCAGAGGCCTTAAGATGACAGTGGGCTGTAGTGCTGGGTTGCAGGAACTTCACTCCTCTGTGTTGCCGTAGCGGGACAAGGCCAGAGATGGGGTTCTACCTCCATCCGCTGCTTATGAACCGGAACAGTTGTTACCTCTGGGTCTCAATTTCCTCTTCTGTAAAAGAAGTGGACCCAGGTGATCTTTCAAGTCCCTTTTGGCTTTAACACTGAATGGAAGAGAAGGAAAGAAAAGAAGAATCCTGGTAACCTTCGGTGCACTTGAATTGATTTTGCAAATTCACCCTCTTTCTCTGATCAAAGAGATCAGGTGTGCATGCCTTCTCCCAAGAAAGAAACCCACCTACACTCTTAGTTGCTTTATTAATTGTACTGGACTTGTCACAGCTTGCATGCAGCCCAGCCTTTTTGTACTTTTAGGTAATTTAATTTCAGAAATCATTTGTAGGATGATAGAGGATGTCTGAAGAGTTTTTCTCTCCTTGATTTCTTGGCTAGACATTTCAAAAAGCTAGTGAAATTAAAGAGGAAAATCTTTTCAAGGCAAATTTGGGAATTTATCATCCACCCCCTCTTGCTACCTGGGTGGGAGAAACAGTATTTGGTTTCTGTGCTGGCTGGTGGGTCCTATTCCTCTGTATGTGGGCAAAGCCTGCAGTTTCCCTCCCTATTGTTTGTAGACGTGTTTTGGTCACTATTATTTAGTGTAACCTAGCTTTTGACTTTGTTTCAACGTTCAGTGCAGGAGGCAGAAGCGGTTGGTTTATTGACATGGAAACGAGGATCTTGTTTACTGTTACCTTAAAAGCTTTGTTTAGGTAACGGCCATTCACATCCAAATTAGTACCCTAGTCTTTTCCTAGAGGACTTGTAGATACAGTAAGTAGAGCTGTACCTAACTAACTAATGTTTTAATTTTTGGTAGTTTTCTTTTTTGTTTTTTTTTTTAAAATAGTTGCCAGGGATGTGCAAAAGGTTGGGATTTGCCATGCTTGACCCTTCCTCTCCTTCAGCGTGCAAAGTTTGCACACTGAGGACTCGGATCGTGATACAATGCACTGATACGGCCACACAACATCCAGGAGTTCTGAATTGGCTTTTTCATTTTGCGATTTAAATTTTTTATTTTTTAATACTTCACTTTCTTCATTGCACCAGACTTCTTCCAGCTCCTGGCACCTCCCTCGACATCCCCCACACCTGTTACCCCATAAACAAGGTGATTTCTGATTGTAATCGTGTGCCGGTCAACTAAAAAAAAATCCCCTGGGGAGTGTTTATGATAAGACACTTCTGTCTTACGTTTGGTCAACAGAATGGAAAATCCACACCTGTTGTATTTCTCTCTTAGACAAGCGCTAGTCAGCGCTGGACACACCTGTAGATACAGTAATGTTAATCTTTACGAAAGGGTAGTTTTCTAGATCAGAGATTTTTGTCTCCTTTAGTTTTTGAAAAGTAATCTCTCATTTCTCAGGTGATGGTTAAAGGTAGGAAACACAATGCAGATTTCATGAGGTCTTTAAGCCACCGTAATAACAGCAGTAAATCCTCGTGTGTCTTTCTGGCTGGGACCTTAGGTGATGTAAGTCAAGGAACAAATGAACTATCCTTGTTTCCCACCCCCGCCTTCACCTCCATACTTTCCTCCAAGGCATTACTCTTTCTTTTCCCCTCTCTTAGGGCAGAAGTGAAAACATAGCTCAGATTTACTTTTTAAAAGGAAACAATTTAAATATGAAAGCCAAAGTCTAGAAATAAATAACTAGTAGCAACGTTTATATACTACTCTCTGTGTTACATTTTTGCCCAAAGATCTGTGGCATTTAGAAATGGAATGAAAACTCACAATGGGGCTGTTTTCAAATTTCTTTCCTCTTCTTTTCATCTACGCAGTCACTTTTTTCCTGCCTCACATCAGCCTGCTAGATTCACATGCTTCCGGGAGAATTGCTCTGAGTGGTACAGCCAGACCCTGATTGAGCATCAGGTGTTCTGCAAATGTCTGATTTGGACTGGAGGATGTTTTTCCATTCGGATTGAGGTTGGGGAAGGGGAATCCCCTACTTGTTGCACTAGATTCTGACTACTACTTTTGTTCAGTTACTTTTTTTTTTCTTTTGTGCCCTCCCCAAGTTGGGCTGTCTTTTCTAATTTGGGTTTAGGTTGCACATAGATTTTTACCCCCTGTCGTTTTTAAAATCCAAGTGGATTTTACTTCATTTTCTTTACTTAAAAAAAATTATTTTTTAATCTTTTGAGGTGTAACTACAGAACAGATCTTTTTGATTAATCCTGGGTAACTTTACTTTTGCTAAAATGAATTAATTAACTCAAGCAGAGCATTGTGTTAGTTGTCTATGGGGAGTTTTTGGATGTTGTTGATTTAAAAAATTTTTGGAATCTCCTTCTCCTCCTGCGTTGCTGAGTTATCATCAGGGAGAAGAAATACCATCCAATTACCTACTGCTAGAGAATAGTTACATTTAATTTTCAGGTTATGATTTTTTCCCCAATGATAATGATGCTCCCATCTTTTCTTCCATCCACGCATAGCAAATTAGATGCAGATACCATTTAATATTCAGTGTCTGGAAGAAGAAGCCCTTGCTTAAATAAGAATACATGAGATCTGGTTTATTAAGAGCATCGCACACTGAAATGCATGGCGGGTCATTTCAGAAACCCTAGCTAGCTATGTTAGTTATAAGATGTATTGGAGGAAAGGATGAAGTTGAGATCATAGTTTAAGAAACTTTCGAGTTGCCTGAGAAGTTACAAAAGCTGGATTATAAGCCTGAGAAATGAGTGATTAATAATTAGGTGATTAATCATATATTTTTTCCTGTTCTTAAAGTACTTTATTGATTCCTGCTTTTCTGTTTTTTTCCCAGATTGACCCCAAAGTTGCATTTCCTCGTCGAGCGCAACCCAAGGTAAGTAGGAGAATCAACAGTAGGATTTTAGCACTCAGAGATGATTGTCAAGAATTTCAAGTTTCAAACAGTATTGGCAATGAACTGTTGAAGCCTGGTATTCACTGTTCCTTTGGGGTATCAGCAAATGATGGCAACAGGCTGGGCAAGTAGTCCTGTGAGATAACCATGCGTCTCTAAGTTAGCCATCCCAAGGTGGCTTCTGAACATCCCCCCTGGGAGCAGGGACAAGTCTGATGCTTAGCAGGAGGACGTGGCTCCATCCACTGCAGTATTTTTTGCAAGTATTCGATTTGTTTTTTGAGCCTTGTCAAAATCATATCAGGAAAAGTTGAACATTTCCTTGTGACTCTTTGGAGGGTACTCTTTTGAGGCTTTACAACTTGGAATTTATGGAGAGGAGTAGAGTTTAAGTAAACAACTGATCGTTTGTTGGAAAAAAACAACTTCTTAAACCTGTAAAGCCTTAAATCTGAGAGAGGTAGCAGTGGATATCTTGGTTTCAGGTTGGTTGGTTAGGTCAGGGCATACTTGAAACAAACAGTGCTTCTCATTTGTGCAAGTGCTGGTGCCTGGGTGGAGGAGTCCTGAAAATGTTGTAACCTTGTAGGAGTGGTACTACAAGACTTGCTTAGAGAATCGAGATAGGGCTTCACTTTTTTAGAAGTGTGTAGTTAACATAGTTTTCACTGAGCTTGCCAGGTGTGGCTGTGAGAACACAGCTGCATGAAGCAGGAAGGTTAAATTGGAAAGGCTTATGGCTTACATGTTACATTGATACTTTAGTTATACTTTTTTTCTTCCCCATGTAGCACTGGAAGAAATGCTTCTATGTACCTTCTGAATTTCTCATTCTTTTAGGGAAAGAGAATAAGTTGAAGCTTCTGATTTTAAGTCGTAAAGGGAAGGGGTTGTGGCTTTAGCAAACCGGTTTATTTCTTTAAACATAGTCTCCCAGAAGTGGAACCTTTTAATTGTTTAAAGGGAGGAATGGTTTTGTGCATTAACATAGAAAAGGTTGGTGATTGTGAGGATACTTTGAGAATTTCAGGTCTGGAGGCTGCCACTTGATTAATTGATTGATTCTTTCCTTCTTTCTCTCCTTCCCTCGTTGTTCTCTTTCTTCTCCCTTTTTTAAATAAGGAAACACAACTTTTTAGAATACTATGAAATATTTTCTTAAGGCTTTTTTTTTTCTTTCCTCTAATGCTTAAGCAAATGATAGGAATGAATGAACTAAAGAGATTAGGTTATTTCTCTGCTTAGCACAAACTTTGGAATTGTCGTGATTGTTTTAGTTACTTCCCAAACTGTCTGTGATCCTTCACATTTCAGAGGGCTTCCCAGAGTTAGCAGTACTTCCTGGGTTTGGAAGAACTGCTGTTTCTTCCATAAGTGTGAATCTTTCAATTTCCAGGTTAGTCATTTGATCACTCAGAGCTTGTATCAGATTACCCAAGAGGGAAGCTGGAAAAATCCCTTACTTGGTAAAACCATGGGTTTGACCTGTTTTCCTCTCCCCCGGTGGTCCCCCTTCCTTAACTTTGTTTTTAAACGCAGAAAACAGTATTTCACTTTAATATACTCTGCAGTGGTGCATTCAACTTGAAAAAGAGGCAGAATAGTTTTCAAACTTGTCGAAGTGTGCATTCCTTTCCCAACCCCCAGCTCCACATCTGGAATGTCAGTGGGTGAATTAACATGAAACCAGTTGGGGAAGAACATCTTTCCATGAATTCTAGGGATTTAATAATAACACCTTACTGTGTATGACATACTTCACTTTACAAAGGACTCTGCTATTCATGAACTTCATCTGAATTCCATCTCCTGGGGCATTTGGCTGTTGCCCCTGACCTTCTCTCAGTCTCAGTGTGCCCATCTGTAAAACAGGAGGGATGACAATAGCTCTCTCAGAAGGTTTTTGGGAAGAGTAAAAGAGCATGGTCTCCGGCAAAAGTTTCTGTCATTGCCATTGTTTTTATTGTCGGTTTCCTCTTCATTGTTCTGGTTGGTGTTTGCAAGTGGGACAGCCTGGGTTCAGATGCTGATGGTGCCACTCCTTAGCTGTGTGAATTGGAACAGATCATTTAACTTCCTTGAACCTTAGCTTCACCATCTCATAGAGTTTTTCTGCAGATTAAATAAATAAAGGTAAAGGGACTTAAAAAAAAAAAAAAAAGACACGTTGCATGGTAATGCTATAGAAGCATTAACCTGCTGTTTCATTTTTTGAGATGGTAGCTCACTATGT